ACATTTTCAGCTGTTTTATAAGACATTTGGGGTTTGTCACATTTTTTGCTTAACTGTCCCACTGTGCTGTGATTCGTTGGATGCGCAAGATCGATTCCAACATGTTTTGGTTTCTTCAATCACGATTTATATTATAGAATCCCATTGTCGTAGGTTAAAATTGGATATATACAAGGGGTACACTAATACTGCTTCACATTCTGAAAAATTATTAGCTTACATTTTTGTGTTAAGTAAATATTTATATCGGAAAAAGTTTATATTTCTCCAATAGATTTAAATATTATTATTACAGATTTACACTACTATTTATTTATTTATTTTTTTAATTTTTATTTATTATTCTATATCTTTAGTATATAAAATTCACATTATTCGGCTGAAGGCGTATCTTACTTAATAGTCTATTACAGTTATTAATGATCTGTGAACGAGCATTGCGCAGTCGATAGAAGCCGACCGAAAATCCCATATTTGTTTACCTATTTTACTTGAAAATGCGTCTTAAAATCATTTTTTTCCACTGATAATTTTAATAGTTAATTATCGAGCAATTCGACAAAAACATTTTTACGAAATTCTTTAGATTCTACAATTTTAATTTTATTTATTTAAAATTTAAATCTCACACCTTTTTCAACAAAGGAAAATGAAATATTTGAAAAGGTTCTGATAAGAAATTTAAGAAAAATAAAATATAATAAAATATTTCCAATGATTTGACTAATTTTATTAATTTTAATGGACCTAATATGCTTAGAGTTTATTCCCATTATATTATTTTAAATTTAATTATAATTTACTAATTTTTTAAACTTACAAATGCGTTGCCAAAGTTTCCCATTGATCAATTAAATGCAACATTTTTTGTTTATTGCTTTCAAATTACTTCACTGATTTGTTAACTTAAAAAAAAAAAGTATTTTTTTTTTCGTCAATGAAACATAAATTAATATGAATTTTCAATTGAAACTATTTTCGATTCAATTCGACACGCTGACAAATCTCGACTGAATAAAACAATTTAAAACGTGGCCATTTGTCAAGAGAGAATTATTAGTTGATCAAAAGCTTTGTTTCAAATGACAAAGCGAGCAACAACAACAACAACAACAACAACAGCAACAGTTAAGTGAAGATGAGAATATAGAAAAATTCATTTATAGAATATACAACAATGTCAATTAATAAAATATTCATAATTAAATTAAGAGGGAACAAAACATTTGCACAGTCTTAACATGCTTATATATGGGGACATATGTGTATATACATATGTACATATGTATATTAATTATGTATATGTATAGAGTTTCGTATGACGCTTAGATTACAGTAGATTTGTAATAATTTTATAAATGATATTTGCATTGTTTATAAAACTGATTGCCAGACAGATGATTGACTAATAGATGGAACTGAACTGAGCTGCGTGGTTGATTGAGCGATTGAGCACTGGCTGACTTTATTGAATGCTAGATTGGTTGATTGACTGATTATGATTATGATTGATGGGCTGAATGGTTTTACGACTGCTTGATTGATTAAATACTTAACTGACTGAATAAGCAAAGGGCAGGTTGATTGGTTATTTGACAAACTGATAGCTTGATAGACTGCCTAATTGATGAACTGAAAGCTGGGTGAGTGACTGCTTGACTGTGACAGATATAAATGTGGTATAAAAAAGGTCGGGTATTCTATGATGTAATATGAAATAAATATACAAAGTATGAATGGGCATATATATGTATATGCATATGTGCATATGTGCATATACAGAGTGCAGATTAAGTGGCTATTTAGATTATTATAATTATCAGCATGCACTTGTATTTGCTTTTGCTGTTGCTTTTGCAATTTCAATTGTTGTGCAAAAACTCTAAAACTTTTCCATGTGCTCTATAAATATCAACATCAAAGGCCACAACAGGCCATCGGACGTATTGGGGCCACACAAACAAACAAACAAACAAACAAACAAAACGGCAACAAAAACAACAACAACAATGCTAGATGCAGCCTCATCTATATGATATATGGACACAGATAAAGATACAGATATAGATACAAATAAAGATACAGATACAAATACGAATAAAAGTACAGATATGTACAACTGCATATATACACACACACACAGATATAGATACGTCTACAGATCCAGATACATTCAGAGATATGTGAACTGCACTTTTGCAGCTTCGTTTTCAATTGCTTTGGCAAATGCACTTGAGAGTTGGCCCCAGAGCTGCGCAGATTGTCGGCGTTCGGCTCCAATTACATTCAATTACAATTACAATTACAATTTCAATTACAACCCGGAGATGTACAAAATGGCACGCCGATGCTATTTTTGGAGTGACAAACTCCAAAGTGGACCTAATTGAACTGTCGCCATTTATTTATGGGTTCAAATTGTGCAATGTGCAGAGAGAGAGAGAGAGAGAGAGAGAGAGAGACAGACACGCACACTGTCAGCCAATGTCCGCGGCATTAAGCCTGAGCTGCACTGCAAAAAATTAAGTGCTCTATGCTCGTTCTGAGAAAGTTATGAAGCTGAAGCTAGAGTTTCTAAATTTGAAAGACATGCACTTACTTGATAGGCTATTAAGATTTAGCACACCAGAGGCGTGGCAAATCGGCAATTACTATATACCTTAGCACAAAGGTGTTATTAGTTAAATCTATTGACAAATTGAAGCTGTATATATCGTGAATGGAGAGTAGAGAGAGAGGGTAGAAAAAGAAACGAACAGAAACAATAAAATTTGACAACTGTTTTACTGCTGACTCAATCAAAATGCTGCCAGAATTAATTAAAATGTTAACTTTTAGTATTTAAGAGCGGGTTTTTAGGTGGTAGCTGTTTTTTAGTAGTACTACCCAGTCGCATGACTCTTAGTTATAAAGCTTTTAGTACCAGGCAATGCTTAGCATGGTAATTTTGAAAAGTTTTTTTTTTTAATGAATGAAACAATGAATGATTCAACAATGGTATGTTATTTAAAAAAAAAAAAAAAAAACAGTGAATAATCCAACAATAGTATGTCATTATAATTATACTATTGTTAGATTATTCCAGGTTTATATTATATTATTCGATATTTATAGAACAGCAATTGTGTATCATTATATATCTATAAAACTAAAAACCACAAGCTTGATAGATTGATAATTAATTAAGCAATGCAACTTAAGCTTGCCGGATATTATATATAGCAAAGGCAATTGATATCTATTGACAAGCAGAAATGGAATTAAAAGTGAAAATGATATGACGAAGTGGCAATACTCTAGGGAAATATTTAACCATGTATTATATAAATAATAAAGTAGATTAATTGCAATAAAATCTTGTAAATAAGGAAGATAAATTTAACTTTTATGCACATATATACAATTACATTAAATATTAACTTAACAAAATATTCAACTGTTTAAGCACCTGAGATAAAATGTCAATGAAATGAAATTAAGCTCTAAACATAAATATTTACTATGCCAACAACAAGGTTGTAGCACTTCGATAATGTTAACGCACGTGTAGGGTGTTTGCCAATGAAGGGACAGTTGACGCTCAGGGCCAGGCTGCAGTAAAGTGCAATGACCAATAAAGCAATTGTAAACAGTCGCAGCAGCAGCAGCAGCAGCAACAGTAACAGTAACATTAATAACAGTAACAGAAATTAAATAAAAACAAGAACAATGTTGCGAATATTTCTATAAAACTTACACAAATCTCGCTTAAAGCTTAAAGCTCCCTCTACAGTTCCATTCAGTTGAGTGGAGGAAGCGGGGCTCCAGCCCAATCGCCAATTGCGCCTCACCAAAAGAAACAATAACAACAACAATAGGAGCAATAACACACTCAGCGCACACCAACAACAGGCTACAACTACAACAAAAACAATTACCGCAATCTGCATGCTAAATGTTAAGGTAAACAATGGACGGGAGGCGCAGAAGAAAAGAACAGAGCAAAACGAAATAAAAAGCAGCGAGAGTAACGGCGAAGTCAACGTCGCGACGTCGACGCAGGTTTTTATAAACAAAAATTATTCACGAATTTGAATTCAAGATATGTAATTTATGATCAAAATCTTGTGCATAAATAATTTAATACAAAATAATTAAAGACATATTGCTAGCTGAACAAAATGTTTAAGCCACATAGTTTATGAGTCATTGAAAAATACTTCAGACACAAAACCCTTATACAAACTTCTTTTCAATAGTTCTACATCCACTATTTGCACTTACAGTTTTACATGCATAAAAATTGGATGGAGTTGCAAATATTGCTTTGCCAAAACTTTTCAGACACAAAAGCCGGAGGACAACAACAGTTTGACATTCATTAGTGTTTCATTACAGTTTTACAAGCACAAATGCAGCCAAGATCCGCCTTTCCAATATTCCAAGTCCCATACAAACTTCACTTTCTTTCTCCCTACAGTTTTACATTCATGGCAGGCAATTTACAGTTTGACAGTCAGCAAAGTTAAGTAGTCTCCATAAAGTAATTTAAATACATACATACATATACATAAGTAGAGTATTTCATATTCGCTTGAATGCCATGAATGAATTTGTTTTACTTCTTTCAGTTTATTGCACAGACTTGTCATTTGCAATGCACATAAATGTGTGTGTGTGTGTGTAGGTAAAGGTATGTGTGTATGTGGATAGAGTATGTTTCATTTCTTGGACTTTCCTCTCGCAGCACTTGCAAATCGATAAAAACAATTTTCAACCTACAATAGTCATAGCACGTGCCCGTTGTATACTACGTACATACCTATACAAACATACATACATATATGCAGATATATTATAATATACCCACAGTCATATTGATATATCAATTGGTGAAAGAAGAATAGTTTTGGGAATTGCAGACATGACAAAGGGACTTTCCTATAAGAGTTTTCAGCATTTCTTATTGGATTCTCGTTGTATGCCGTTTGGAGTTATTCAGAATGCATTTTGGCACTCACCTTGCCAGTCTCATCAACGCCATTATTGTGCGAAATATTTCTTGTTGGTCCAATTTATAATGTAGAAGCGCTTAGCGAGTTGAGTTGTAAAATATTCAACTTGTATGCGAAAAAAAAATTCGATTGGTTATTTTGGCAGTGCGAATAACGGCATTGGGCAAGGGCAAGGAAGCGCTGAAGGTGGACCGGTAAATTTTCTTTTGTTGTCTGCGCGCTTCCACAGACACAGATGCACATATGCACTCAACACGCACACACAAGTAAGCGCGCACACACACGCATATGCAGGCGGCGCACTGCCGGCACGTAACAAAAGGAGACAAATATCGAAAGCGACGAAAACTGAAAAACAATTGCGCGCGCACACAAAACTTCACTCAATTCTCAAGCGTCCGTCTACAGCGAAGATCTGAGTCTGCCGACCGGCACAGTTGGATAAAAACAAACTAGCGACAATGGCAGCGACGACGACGACGACGACGACGGCGACAGCGACAGCATTAGCAGCAGCGGCAGCAGAAACATATGACCGAGCGTCTAGATGTGACCAGTTGCAGAGACATTTAATAAGTGGCACTAACCAGAGAACACATAGACTAGACATCTAGAACAAATTTTTTCACCGGCGAAAAAATGCGCTGAGGAGACTACACAACTTCGTATTTGCTCGGCTCAGTCTCTTGAGGCTCAAGCATTGAAAATAAGGCAAGACAAAATCAGTGTGCTGCGAGCGCTGCCACGAAATGCACGCATTACCAAATGAAGCACGGCTATGCGCTCTTTTTCCCTTGCTCACTCTCTCCCTCTCTTTATGCTCTCTCTCTATGGTCTCTCGAATGGCAGCAGCGCACAAAAATTGAAAATTGTTCGCGACGATCTGAGCTCGTTCCTTTTGAGTGAAGGGTATACCGAAATTTGTAAAGCGTTCGCCACGTTCATGCAAACAAAATGTAAGCGTTTCGATGGTTATTCGTGGGAAGGGTATGAAAGCGTTGATACGCATAAACAATATGATTTCGCGACGGGCAAGTACACACACACTTGTAGTCCCTTGCTTCATGTATGAGCATTTGTGACCTGCGTGCGTTACTCTTGCTGCTTGTAGCAATTTTAAAGCCAGCATTTGCATTTGGTCGGTCTTATGGACTGTCATAACCACTTTACACAGATGTACTATGTATGAACATACATACATACATACATATGTACATAAGTACATTTATATATTATTATTGCTAATCATGTTTATAAATGTGTCTATATATAATTAAAATTATTTTATACACATTTTTAACCGAAAAAATTATCGTAAAACACTACTAACTTTATTAAATGCTTTGCAATATATGAAATACACATGTCATATTATACTCAAGCTTTACTCATTATGCATTATCATTGCATTAAGTCATAATGGCCCATTTGATAGTCACCCTACGATTCAAATCATACAAAATTTACAAAATAATAATTCCAGAGACAATTAGCTTGCCATCCCATACAAGCATACACATACACAAATGTATGTATGCATGTGCTCACTTCACAAGGCAGACCAACGGCAAATTTTGGGCTTTACAATTTGCACAGCCTGTTCTGCACAGAAAGAATACATTTTCGCGACGAGCATGCACACACACATTTACATGGGCATCAATACTTTCAAACCCTGCCGCAGGTAGCAAGAATAGAGTTGCTTACACAAGCACACAAATGATAGCGAGGGACTGACAATGTGTGTGTGCATGGTCGTCGCCTAAGCATTTTTTATGTGTGCAACTTTTGGGCTGATAATAGACGAAAATACTGAGAAAGAATTGAGTTTCGCGACGCACGCACAGAAAAGCACATACACGTAGCAAGGATGTAAATGTGTGTGTGCATGCTCGTCGCGAAAATGTATTCTTTCTGTGCAGAACAGGCTGTGCAAATTGTAAAGCCCAAAATTTGCCGTTGGTCTGCCTTGTGAAGTGAGCACATGCATACATACATTTGTGTATGTGTATGCTTGTATGGGATGGCAAGCTAATTGTCTCTGGAATTATTATTTTGTAAATTTTGTATGATTTGAATCGTAGGGTGACTATCAAATGGGCCATTATGACTTAATGCAATGATAATGCATAATGAGTAAAGCTTGAGTATAATATGACATGTGTATTTCATATATTGCAAAGCATTTAATAAAGTTAGTAGTGTTTTACGATAATTTTTCGGTTAAAAATGTGTATAAAATAATTTTAATTATATATAGACACATTTATAAACATGATTAGCAATAATAATATATAAATGTACTTATGTACATATGTATGTATGTATGTATGTTCATACATAGTACATCTGTGTAAAGTGGTTATGACAGTCCATAAGACCGACCAAATGCAAATGCTGGGCTTTAAAATTGCTACAAGCAGCAAGAGTAACGCACGCAGGTCACAAATGCTCATACATGAAGCAAGGGACTACAAGTGTGTGTGTACTTGCCCGTCGCGAAATCATATTGTTTATGCGTATCAACGCTTTCATACCCTTCCCACGAATAACCATCGAAACGCTTACATTTTGTTTGCATGAACGTGGCGAACGCTTTACAAATTTCGGTATACCCTTCACTCAAAAGGAACGAGCTCAGATCGTCGCGAACAATTTTCAATTTTTGTGCGCTGCTGCCATTCGAGAGACCATAGAGAGAGAGCATAAAGAGAGGGAGAGAGTGAGCAAGGGAAAAAGAGCGCATAGCCGTGCTTCATTTGGTAATGCGTGCATTTCGTGGCAGCGCTCGCAGCACACTGATTTTGTCTTGCCTTATTTTCAATGCTTGAGCCTCAAGAGACTGAGCCGAGCAAATACGAAGTTGTGTAGTCTCCTCAGCGCATTTTTTCGCCGGTGAAAAAATTTGTTCTAGATGTCTAGTCTATGTGTTCTCTGGTTAGTGTAAGTGGCAAGGGAATATATATTCTTTGTAAATGGTGGGTATATGAACATATTTAACTCTATATAGTTTCTATTAATATTTAAATATTATGATTGTGCTGCGATGTAATATTTCTATTAATATTTAAATATTATTATTGTGATAAAAAGTAAACTCCACTGTTAATGGATAAATTTAGTATTTTTATGAAATGTTAACTTACAGTTGCCAAAATCTGGCAGCACTAGAAACATTGGCGCTAACGTAAAAGCCGTTGGTATTTGAAAATATATTTAAAGCATATTAATTGTACAGTGTAATAATATATAAAAGTTTTTTTTAATTATTTCATAATAATGTCGTTATAAGCCAAGCGGAATTAACTTCTTTTAATTCAATATGAATGATGAACTCTTCATCTTCGTCTCGCTCTTCACATTCATATTTTCGTTTTTATTTTAGTATTTTTATTTAAAGTGAATAGCGCCATCTAGAGAGCCGTTGGCATTTGAAAATAATTCAAATATTTCCCTTTACATCATTACAATCTGAACAACTTATTTTTTATATTCGATACTTATTTTTCTTAATTTGACTGACAATCAAAATGTGGGAACAGCTGGAGAGATATCGCAATCATTTTCTGCAACGTGAAATGAAAGGTGTGATGAAGTCCAGCACCGTCAACTGTTTGCAGAGCACAGGTAGAGTCCAGCAGCTGCAGCATTTCAGCAATTTTAGTAATAATATTCCTCATGCAGAATGGGATAAATTCAGAAAGAAGCGCGATTGCTGTTTCCGATTCCCACAGCAATGCGCCAAGAGCTCCACCTATTTCTTTGATCGCGCTCAGCTGGCCTATGGCTACTTTGCATTGCCCAAACTGATGAAGGAGATCGACAGCGATGTCAATCTAACCCATTGGCGTGCCATTGTTTCCCTGACCGAATTTCTGCTCAATCCACAGAATGTGCAACGTGCTGTACTCGAGATGGATATTGTTAGAAAGTGAGTGGGGAACGGGGAACGGGGAACGGGCAGAAGGGAAGTTTCTATCTATCTTCTTATCTTATCTTGAAAGTGGAATACAGAAGCGGAAAGCGAGAATCCAGAATTTGTGTTCTCTTCCCATTTCCCCATCAGCCAGAGGATGGTATTCCTGATTCCACTCTATCCATCCATTTTCTCTTCTTCCCGTCTTCCCATCCTCCCAGCTTACCCTCCTTCTATCCATCATCAGTCTCTTCTCTCTTTTGCAGACTTAAGAACGCATTTATGCGGAAACGTTTGAAGCATCACGCGGAGAACTTTGAGGAGATTGAGACATATTTGAAGATCTTTAGTAGGTGTTCCATTCTTCTCTCTTTTTCTCTACTCTATGCTCTCTCTCTCTTCGTCTTTCTCTTCTCAGACATAATTTCTCGCAATTTGAACGGCGCCGAGCAAATCGCGAATCGCAAATGTTTAATGATTGAGTTCTATAAAATTCTGAAGGACATGGAACCGCGCAAGGAAGATCTCGCCGCCGAGATACTGCGCAATCTAACGGGCAAGCCAAAGGGTAAATGCATCCAATTGGATTTCCAGGCCATTCCCTAATATATTCCCCTTCCAGTGCTGGGCATCGTTCTGTCGGATGCCGAGAACTTGACCTCTATTGCCAATTACTTGAAGCAGGATCCCTGCAAGCCGCTGTATCCGCCCGACATGTGGCACCATCTCTGCCACATGCTGGAGGTGGCACCGGAGCAGGGCATCCAGCTGGGTCTGTTCCAGCTGCTGCACTCGCGCATCGTCAATCGGCTGGCCAAGTTCTGGGAGATGAACTGCAAGGCGTTCGCTCTGCTGCTGCGCTGCTCGGAGGGGCAGCGCCTGTTCGACGAGGTCGACGGCATCAAGATGATCTTCGACATATTCGAGGACAAGTGCATTCCCGCTGAGCAGCAGCTGCACGATCAGCCGGTGCTCAGCTACGAGTACATTGTGCTCGCCCTGCTCAACGGCCTCCATAGCAAGCGGGCCCTGTGGCGCATGCGCGAATTCACGCTGCTCATCTGCCACGTGGGACGCGCCATGCACACCCGGACGAACGCCCGGCTGCAGCTCTACTGCCTGAAGGCGCTCCGCGCGATGGGCGTGATGCCGTGCAACAAGCGCTACATCATCGGCAACTGGCTGGACGAGATCAGCGCCCTGGAATGCTACAGCGCCGATGCGGAATGCGCCCGAGATGCTCTGCTCGATTGGCTGCGCCGCGACATCGCCGACAACAGCTGAAGATTCGTTTATCTATATGTTTTGTCTATTTTGGATTGTTGCTTAGACTAATTACAGTTGATTAAATTGCTTTGTGCGCGCACTTGACTCTTTTCTGATTGGAGTAAACACTGTAAAGCCTTTCTGATTTGAGGAAACAAGAAAGTATTTGAGTATGTCCAATTGGAGAGTTGGTATTTTTGATATACAATCTACACATTGTCGATTCTAGTTGGAAACGTTAGTGACAGTTTTCCGCAATCATTTAACATATTTCTGATTGGAAATAGTAAGGCTGGACATTTCTACAACTTCATAAGCTATTTAGTATTTTCTATAATTTCTTTTCAACTTTTTATTATTTCAAT